ACCGTCCTCCTCTGGGCGCCGTCCTCCGTCTGCAGACCGCCGCTCCAGTCTGGATCCTGGAGGAGAAAGATGCCACGGGGTCAGAGTTCAGCAGCTCAGACGGAAAACCCGGCAGGTGTTAGCGTACCGTCTGCAGCTTCTGCAGCTCATTCAGGGCCTGCTTGTTCCCAGGCTCCAACTGCAGCAACCGCCGGAAATCTGACACACACACACGGAAAGTCGAGACAATCACTCAAACATGTGGAGTCTCATGAAATCATTGATCAGGAAGCTAAACATTCCACTCCAAGATAAATATTTGCTTGTTAGCTGAAGAAGCTAAATACTTAGTTTGAGGCTTAATATTTAGCTCTAAGCTAAACATTTAGCTAATATGCAAATATTTAGTTTGAAGCTAAATGTTTAGCATGCTAGCTACATATTTAGCTTGAAGATATATGTTTAGCAATTAATTAGCAATCTTAATTGTGTTGCTAATTAGGTATTTAGTTTACAAAATGTGTCAGTTATAAACAAATGAAAGAAATTGTGAAAATATGACTTTGTGAAAATATGACTTTGAAAATTTTGCCTATTTTCTATATTGCTGCTTGTTTTTGAGCACCAATAAAAAGTGGTGGACCTTCCCAGTAGAATGTTTAAATGTGAAAGAGTAGGAAAAAAAAACCAAAAAGCAGGAGGAATATATGCTTATTGAAAACAATAAACCCAACATGTTGCTGCTGTTTGCTGTGGGAACTCTGCAGCACCTTCCTTGGCCTCCTGCAGTTTCCCCAGTGCCAGTCTGGCTGTGCCGCGGCGGGCGAAGGCCTTAGAGTAAGTGTCATCCAGAGAAATGGCTGCTGTACAGTCCTCCTCTGCTTCTTTATACCTGCAGGAAGACAGATGGAGAGAGTTTGTTTACAATCTCCTGCTATCATTTGTTGGATGGAGTGAGAACTGTTGGATGTTTCTACCTGTCCAGCTTGAGGAAGGCCATGGCTCTGTTGGCAGGCAGGAGGACGTTCATGGCGTCCGCCTCCATTCCTCTGCTGTAGCATTCCACGGCTGCCTCGTACTTCCCTTCTTTGAAGTAAGCGTTTCCCTGAAGTGCAAACGTCTCCGTTGGGTTTCAGAACAAACTGACAGAGAAGAGAGGCGATAAACCAGGACTCACTCTGTCCTTCTGCATCACAGCTTCCTGTTTCCTCTGCTGCTCTCCCAGCTGTTGCTGCTGGTCGTGGTGGGCGGCGGCGGCGGAGGCAGGCTGGACGGCCAGACCCCGCCCAGCCTGATCGAGGATCTGAACCAACCAGAATATGGGTTAGACACCAGCAGGACAAACTGAACCCTGACCCTCACTGACCCCACCCAACCCTCACCTCCTGGAGTTTCTTCACTTCGCTCTGGGCTTCGGCGTTGCCCGGGTCCAGCCGGAGGACCGTCTGGTAATCTGTTCAGACACATTCAACAGCCTCAGATCAGGACGGCTCAAACAAAACCCAGTTTTTAAACCGATTCAGATAAAACCCGGTTTAAAACGATTCAGACCTTCCAGAGCCGACTGGTGTTTCTGCAGGGCAAACCGAGCGGCTCCTCTCCTAGCATACGCTTTGTAATAGCTGTCGTCAAGGGCGACGGCCAGGTTGCAGTCCGACTCAGCCACGGCGAACCTGGGAAGGCAAAAACTTGTCACAACAACCGGAAAAAACTGAAAAACATCTTCAACTTAGCAAAAGTATTTATTTTTTCACATTTTACCACAAACTTCAATGTGTTACAATGAGCATGTATCCATAAAATCTGTCTCATGTGTACTTTAGTCTTCATGAAGCTACAGAACAGTTGCATTTAAAGTGAGATCTGAATCAGTGAAAGAAGCTGAAAACAAATGTGGACCACACTTTTTAGTTTTGTTTTTTTTCTTTGTTTGTTTGTTTGTTGTTTTTAAGGGGAAGAATTATGTATTTTCCAGGCACGTAGATCCATTTTATAACACAATTAAGTAACTATTCTAACTTCAGGTGTTAAAAAATGTCATATGTATCAAACATGTCCTAACAGAAATGTTACTTTGTAATTTAACACCTTGAAATTTGGGCCTCTGTCTCTAGAAAAACTCCTGCTCTTTCTAAAGCTCCGATCTTCAGGAAATCATCACAACACGGCTCCTGCATCAACCCTTTAACAGCGTTTTCACCAGCGTAGAACAGAGATGTAGCTCCTGCAATGAGATCAGCTGATGCACAGCTCCAACAGGTGTTTGCTAATTGCTGCTGCTAGTCTGAAGGAGCCGAGTGAGGGAGGTTTGGGGGAGAGGGTTTGCACTGAGAGCTTGGAAACTGCAGCTCTGAGGAGGAGCTTCATCTCAAAGCAGAGCAGCTCCACACAGGTGTTTCAGCTCAGCTGGTTGCCATGGAGATTAAAGGATTTCTCAGACACGCATGAAACAACACTCCTGGTACAGTACATCGTGACATGATGTAAAACCCAACAAAGTCAATTTTACCTAACCAATGATACCATTTATCTACTTCGCACTTGTATGTATCTACTTTGTATAGTTGTGAAGTAGATAAATGATCATCAATCGATTATTAATCGGTCGAATGAAGCCCATTTGTTTACAGTGTAGTCAGACTTACTTCTTAAGTCTGAAGAAGGACGTGGCTCTGTTGGTGGGAAGCACAGGGTTGTATGGGTCAGCAGCCATCCCTCTAGTGTAACACTCTATGGCCTCGTCATACCTCCCCTCTTTGAACAACTTGTTACCCTGGAAACAAAACAAAAAAAAAAAACAAACGCAGTTGTCATCTTTTAACCCCTCGCCCCTGTCTTTCTGTCTGTGTGTCACATGTAGAAACTTCATTACGTTCTCCTTCTCAGACTGAGCTCTGTCCTTGTCCACCTCCTCCGAATCGGACTCGTTGGACTCAGCCTCCTTGTCTATTTCTGCCAGAGCTTTATCCTGCCGACAAGAGGAGGAACGCACAATCACCGTTTGTTGCATGAAAACTCAGGTTGTGGAAAGCTCAGGTGAGACGTTGGGTTACCACGTCGAACTTGTCCCACGATCGATAATCACAGGATTTGGGTCTGGAAGCTTGTCTGGGCTCCTCTGCCTTCGCGTCGCCATCAGCTGCAGGCGCCTGTTTCCTCCTCTTCTCCCTCATCTTTGACCTGTAGCCCTTGTTACGCACAGGTGGAAGGGTTTTCTGCAATAGGACACACAGACTTATGGAAGGCCATAGGAGCTATGAAAGAAACTGTGAAGTGCAACAGGAATAAATACAAGTTTTAAAGTCTTAGTTATAAGAGTCAAAGTCATCATTTTAAGATGCAGTCATAATTTGACTTCCTAATTACGATATTTAAAGTCATAATTATGAATTTCAATATCACAATTATGACATTAAAGTCTTAATTTTAAGACACAGAGTCAGAACTTTAACTTTCTAAGTCCTGATTACATTCAAAATCACGATTATAGTTTTTGTCAATTAAATGGTTAACTTGGATTTTATTTGAGGGCATCAGTATAAAGATGCTGTTAACAGCAGGGGACATCCTACCTGGAACCCCTGGACTCGTCCAGTCCTCAGCTCTTCATCCTTCCTCTTGACGTCAGCCTCCCAGGTGTCCAGCTCCCTCATGAAGCTGTGAACATCCTCCGCATTCTGCCGGATCTGAAGCTGTAACTCCACGGCCTTGTCCCCCACGGACATGCTGCCCTCTGCCAAACAGACATTTATTTTTGGAAAACTCTTTCACTTCACTTCTCTGTGTTTTAGTCTTCACATCCAAGCAGCAGCAGCATCGAGGTAAAATACGAGAATCACGTTGTGTGACACTCGAGCAGCTAGCAGCTTAGCAAAACAGAACCATCATTGGATTAAAAGAGGCCGGATATGACTGTGCTTTAATTATATACCGTTGTGAAATACCTGCCGCTTCCTTCCTGGACTCACAGTTAATTCGTAATGACCGCTCAAGTGACAAAAGACTCCGAAAAGTGTCGCTAGTCACGACATTCTGTTTATGTTCGGAGCCATGACAGCGGAGGACCAGCAGCCTTTGCGCTACGTACGCACGACGTAACCAAAGATCGTCTATAATAACAAAACAATCTCCGTCAAGGAAAAACAATTATTTTTTTAAATACGGAACTTTTACGAAAAATACACAGATAACTGAGCAATGGAAGTAAGATGAATCAGATAGCGCTACAGTTAACACTTTTCTGAAAGGAAACGACACTTAGGGAGGTCCTTAACAGTCAGCCGGTGCAAGACGTGGCTGAAAGTGACGAAGAGGCGATGAAGGTGGAGTTAAATGGAGGGCAACAGGTTTTCCCCAGATGAAGAAAGTCAGACAGGACCACTCAAAGTAACTGCGGTTGCATAAAATTTCATATGGGAAAGTGGGAGGGTTCCAATCAGTGTCCATAACAGTGAAAAAATAATCTTTTCAATGTTCTATAAATGAATCCAAACAATATTTTAAATTAACACATCCTTCCCATAATGTGAAAGCACTGAATACTATAAATGTTTGCTTCTTGTTTCATATCATGTGATTTGCTCTAAACCAGTTTCTATTACTTGCTGCATGAACCCGCCTGGTATTTGATTGTCATTTTATAGAATCCATATCCACTTAATTGTGTAAAGTTTGAATTACTAAAGTGCTACAGTGTAAAAAAAAGGTACTTATGCAAAGTCATAATTCTTTCCATATTCACCGTAATAATTCAATATCTGAGATCATAATTTTGATTTAAGAACTAAGCAACTTTTATCTGGAAGCTGAAATAGTGTCCAAGCCACGCCCACACGGCGCACATGTGTCTCGCCCGGTGATAAATGATGCGCACCCACTCATATGAAACTAAAAAAGTGCTACAGTACTTTGCTAAAATATTTTGTATTATAAAACTGATAGGAAAATATCCTTCAAAGACTTCACATACCTGATATTTTAAACAATAGTTTTGCCTGAAAATTTTGTCAGTCAACTTTGACCACGGAACCACGTGATCCACAAACCCAGCAATGACCTTTCCTGTTAGCTAGCGGTGGAAAACCCGGAGAACTTTATGCCGACATTTCCACACTTCACGAATCCAACACAATGGATCGGACCAAGCAAGACGAGGAATATGGATATAACCTCTTCCCGAAGAGAAACCCGATGAAGCCCGAGAAGAGACCAGACCGAAGCAGCCTGTTCTCATTCAGAAACAAGTGTCAGGTCATGTTAAGGTTCGCCATGGAAACCAGTGAGTATCGATGCTTGCTTATGTAGCATTTTAGAGAGGAAGCATTCCGATGTGCAGACGTTTTAATGTGAACAAGTGACTCGCTTGTTATTTGAGTGCACGAGCCGTGATAGCAGGTAGCATTAGCTCAAGGAGCTAACAGTGATTGGTTGTGAATGCTAGGTGGCTCCAGCTAAAGCTAACTCCTCTGTGTGTCCCTGGCAGGTCCATATGCCAAACTCCTCCTCAGTGCCATGAAGAACTCCGGCTGGTAGGTTGGACTGCACGGCTGTCTATAACCGGAAACGACATGTTAACGCCAACTGTAATATAGATAGGATGCGAAATGCAAAAGTTACTTCTGCTGCTTTTTTTTATTGAACAATATTGAAATTATCAGTAAACTTTGAGTCTCATATGCTTCTATGAATGTAATTATCGTCCAATGCCGATGTGAATTTCCGAAAAGTCACTAAATATAGCAATAATGTTGCTAATTTGGTGACTAATGCTAACCGCAAGTGCAGGCTGACCCAGATAATACTTCCGCTGTTTTTCACAAATACCAATTTTTCTCCCACAAAACCCGCCAGAGCGCTTCATTCATTCAGCGGCCCGTCCCGTTTTTCACTTAAGAAATGTTGACAGGAAAGTTTAAAATATTGCTTTATAATAGTGCCTCTACCAAAAGATTGGACGATTAATGCCCGAACACCAACTATAAAGTCTTTTTTAAAAAAAGTAAAACATTTAAAAAAGGCTTTAAAAATTAAGCAATGTTAGCCTGGTAGGGCCACAAGTAGAGCCTGGTGGGCCGCCAGGCTTAAAACACTGACGGAAAACCTGAATACGATACATTTTTGGTTAATACTTTCAAACTAAAACATTCACCTCAATCAGTGCCTGAATAATATTTTTTCCAGAAGTTCCTTCATTTATGTTCCTCTTGTTTAAATTGCTGATATATTGTACAGTGCTAAAGATGTGCAATATTGCGTGTTTTAGTAGAGTTCCAATGTCAGATAAATCGAGGGCGAGTATTGCCATACAAAAGTATTGATACCAATACATTTTTGGTATTAATTCTTTGTTAATTAAGCTTGATATATCAAACACCTGATATTGATATTTAGGTGTTTTCATGTTTTTTTTTAAATTCTATTGTTGAAACCTTAGAATTTGAACAAAATGTATCTCTACAAAATACTTTAATAACATATTAGCAAGATAAAGAGAAACAATAAAACAACAAAACAAATTAAAAATTGTTTCTAAATAAACAAATGCAGAAAATATTTGTTTTTTATGGTAGAATAGAGAAATTACAACACAAAAATAAAATTTTATTAGGTAATCTGAAAATAAAGAATCAATTTCACCATTAAATCTGATACCGATCATGACTTTATCAATATTTTTGATCTGCCCACAGAATGATATTACCACTGTGTTTCCATGACTTTATGTTTCTATGATACAGTCATCCTCTATCCCTCATCCATGTCACTGCGATTTACTGAAACTGCTAACTAGCTGCATTGGTTTCCACTTCTACCTCCAGCGTATCACACACCTCCCTTTGTTTTTCATTATGTGTTCAGCAACGTGTTTAAAGACAGACATTTCTCCTGTGAGGACTGCGATGGGATGGTCAGCGGTGGCTTTGATGCTGCCTCCTCTCAGGTAGGAAATGAGACGGGTTCTGGAAACGGTGTTACCCTTTCGAGGTTTTGTCTTTTCATCTGAGTCGCGTTTCCTTTCCTCCAGATTGTTTTGTGTCAGAACAACATCCACCAGCAGGCTCACATGAACCGAGTGGTCACCCATGAGCTCATCCATGCGTTTGACCACTGCCGGGCCCACGTGGACTGGTTCAACAACTTCAGACATCTGGCTTGTTCTGAGGTGAGGAGTAGCTTTTAATACCGCCGTTCAGTTAAGAAACTAGGAGAATAAGTAGTTGGCTTCTTGGAACATTTTTTTCTCTTCTATCTCTTTTCTTGCAGACATTTCCAAAAATCAGCTCTGAAAAGGGATTTTGCCTCAGTTTCTCTTTGTTTTGTTTTTTTAAATTAAATTAATTGACCAATTAGTGCATACAAAACAAACATTACATCCTAACAAACCGAGGTATTGATCTACAAAATGATAAACATCCAATTAGATAAGAGAACGAACAACTATAGAAATACATGTCAAGACACAGAACATATCCAAGTGGTGTCACAGCAAAAATGGAATTGCTAAATGTATTATAACAGTAATAATTATATTTTTCTTTTTGAATCTCGGCGGTTATTTTCTGATTTGGATTATTAGTATTTCTCTAATATTCCTCGTTTTGATTAATTATGGGGCGCAGATATTTTGGGTAGAAGTGGGAACGTTAGGGAGAACAAATGACAACAAAACGTTATGCAGTGACATTAAAATGGCATTTAGAATTATGGAATATATATTTTTCTTCAATCTTAGAATTTATTTTTATCTATTGCTGATTGTTGCTCCATTGATATCTGCTGAGTGTAGCCATGATGATGTACTGATCTTTTTCCTGTTTTTGGAACATTTTCAAAGCTGAACAGTGTTATGCTGGACATTCTGTTTGTCTCCTTTAGATTCGCGCAGCGAACCTCAGTGGGGATTGCTCCTTCAGCAATGAATTTTCCAGATTCAACTTCGGCCTTAAGGAACATCATCAGGTACATGAGCCGGGCATAAACGTCACACACGCCGTTTAAACAATCAGTTCCGTGTCTGTAATGCAGTGCTTCTCAATTATTTTCCGTTACGCCCCCCCTAGCAAGAAGAAAACTATTCGCGCCCCCCACTCCCCACCGTGACTATCCATCTCTGCATAACATTTTTTCATTAACATTAAAGAAAAAAAGAAAGACATATGGTCAAACTTACAAAGAATAACTTTATTAAATTGTGTTTTAAGTCTGCAACAGAAAGATTTTAAGTGCATCAATGCCTGAAATTAAAAATAAATAAATCCATGTCTACTGCTGCAGGCAGTATCAGCTCCTCTGCTATGGTGTGGGGCTTTTTGCACTGCGCAATTTGGTACGCCACCTTATATGATGCTAGCAGCGCTCGATGGTTTACTGAAGTAGCCTTCACAAAGCGGGATGACTGTTTGGCAATATTCAGCACGTTTTCGCTGAAAAAACTCTAGCGGCTTATCGGCGTGATTGGGATGTAACATTTAAGTGACGCGCTAATTTATTTGGCTTCATGCTGTCCGCTGCGCATTTTTAGACACAGCAGCACACAGGGTCTTTCCTCTTCTCCAACTGTAGTCACAGTGAAGCCAAGCGCTAAATACGCTTCGTCGTATTTCCTCTTCTTAGCTTTCGGTTGACTTTCTGTTGTCTCATTATCTTTGTCTCTCTCCGCTTTTCTTTTCATCTGATTTTCATGTTGGGGGTTGTTGAATAACGGAGGCCATAGACAGAACGCAGTCGGAGCTTTTTGTTGACTTAACACTGCTAACCAAGGCAAACCTGTTGTCTTGTAAGTCGTAAAATGTTGCACTGTCGCAAACGTGACAGAAGTAACAATGAGAGCACCACTGCCGCCTACTGTGCGCAATTACACTTTATACTAGTACGGCCAAAAAAAAAGCCTGTTCCCCAGGATCACACGCGCCCCCCCAGGTATCGCACCGCGCCCCCCAAAGGGGGCCCGCCCCACTATTTGAGAAGCACTGCTGTAATGGAACCCGTTTCATTCTCTTCAAACAGAAGTGTGTCCGGGATCGCGCTGTACGCTCCATCCTGGCTGTGCGAAAGGTCAACCGAGAGGAGGCGGAAAAAATAGTCAACGAGGTCTTCGACTCGTGCTTCAACGATCACGCCCCTTTCGGACGGATCCCACACAGCAAAAAGGACGCCGAATTCGCCCACAGGGAATACATGAACAGGGATCGGTACTATGCGAACCTTTAGTGTTTGACGTATTGGGATCCTGCAGGTGCTCGGCCAACATTGCCAATGGATGATTGGCGGCGTCATGAGTTGCGGTGTGGACAGAAGTAAATGACTGAGTTGAAACAATCAGAGAGGGGCGCAATACTGTGCATCAGTACAGATTATTTTGTCTTTTTGGACAATAGATTAAAGTGAGAACAACAATGCATTTCATTTTCTTCCTCTTGGACTCTGCTGCTGTGTTAAGAGATTGTACCGACTGATTTCACACTTGGGATTGAAAATTAAATTGGGTGGAACCAGATCAGAGATTTCTGTTTCATCTTTCAGGTTTTACAGTGAAAGTTGTGCGGCTCTACAGACGAAGCCAGATGTTTACACGCACTGTATGAAAAGAAACATTTAGTTTGGTTAAATTTGTTTCTGGTTTAGGTTGGTTAGAATAAGAGTTGTTTTAATTTCTTCAAATTCAGAATTTTGTGTTTTGAACCGTGTGACTTGGGTCAAATATTTTGGTTTTCCTTCCAGAAGCTTCTCACAAGAGTTTGGTGGAATTTTGGCCCATTCTGTGCGAGGAAACTGGTGGAAATTTGTCATCTTGCCAGCTGCCTTGCTTAAACTAATTTTTTAATGCACTTTATGATGGCAGCTACAAAATATCAACTTTGTTGACCTTAAGCCACTTTGTAAATGAGTTGGTGGGACGGTTGGGGTTGCTGTAACACCCATTTCAGCCTAAGCTTCAATTTTCTACTTGCTTCAACATTTGAAGTTCATTCACAATGTTATTTCCTCATAAGTGAAGCAAACCAGCCTTACATCACTTCCTCTAAATTTAAAAATGGTCTCCATGGCCAAGCAGTTTCTTTTCAAGGTGTTTTCCCATCTGATAGTCTGGCAGATTCTGTTTGATTTGAGAACCAAAATTGCAACATTTGTTATATTTTCAGTGACTGCGGTTCATGTTCACACTGCACCAAACCAACCAAAACGACTTCCTTCTTCACAATGAAAACTAAGACAGAGTGGCATCAGATTTAAGCTGTTGGAAGATTTCTCTTTTCTCTTTGGAAGGAGACTATGAGCCATTTCTTCTGCTAGAGTTAGACTCGAACGTTTGTTTTAGTTTTTTTTACCCACAATGCCCTGCGCCGCAGTCCGCTTCCTGCTTTTGGAAGCAGACTAAAGGTTTCTGGTCCACTTGGCGTTCACACGTGCGTTCAAACTGGACCAGCCGAACACAGACTGAAGTTTGTAGTTTGACTGAATGACTTTCCAGGCAAACCAACTACAGTTTGATCAAAGCAGACTAAACCGGTCAGGTGTGAAGGCACCAATACAAACTGTAATCTGTGTTCATGTTGCTTTTGAAGTAATGGCTTCTTCTTTCCTCGGCAGCCTTTAAGACCACAGTGATGCATGACTCTCTCACTCTGGATAATGACAGTGTTACCAGCTGGAGTGACCGGTTGGGGTCTGCAGGTCACTTCCTGATATCTTGGCTTGTTCCTTTAGATAATAACCTATTGAACTTACAAAACTTTAGCGAACCTGACCGACCTAAGACCAGAGAAGTTGTTGCTAACTTAACGTCTTGAAACTGAGAGGAAAAAAAAAGACTTCTGAATCTGTTTGACATTTTATTTCAGCATAAATCTGTTTTTATTAAGTTTGGCAACTAGCAAATGTAATAAAAACATTCTTTATTCCAAAGGTAACATAGTAGTAAAGATTACTATAGTAGTAAATTGGAAGACTGCAGCTCATAATGAGATCATTCTGTGAATTTTATTATGGATTTACTTTGACTCAGGACTATAAATTGTAAACAGGACTTCTGACGGCTTTATCAACATAAAGGATTTGCGGAGGCCCAAATTGCAGACTTTATGATCAGATTCTTGTGTGCATAAATCATTCTGTTGTGATTGTAACACAGTTAGAACCACAACAGAACGTTTACAGCAACAGTGAAAAAGTTTCTTGTGGTTTGAAAACTTGGGAACTCAAAGTCAGCAGCGGGAGAAAGACGCGTCAGTCCAGCTTGATCTAATCCCAAACAAGATGAGTTTTTAACTGAACAGTAATTATGATGGAAAATGTTCCTCAATGCACTAAGCTTTGTTCACATCCATGCGCCTTCTGTAAAAGGACATTACTGACAACTTTATTTGGTTTTAGCATTCAGTGACTCTTGTGGCCCTAGTCAGAGATTATAGAAGGGAAAAAGTTTGGACTTAGCCCCAGTATTTCTTCATACTTCTTGTCTCATAAACAACAGCCTCTTGCATGTCAAAGTCACTCTGCGTCGCTCTTTTTTTTTTTTTGTACCAAAGTGTAACATTCTACTCTTAATATGATCCACTTAATGCCACAAAAGCCGAGGACGCGCGTAGGCTTGGGCCTCAAAGAGGGTGGGTGGGATTAGGATAATTTTGGAATCATCACCAAGAAAATGATGGCAGCTTTGAGACGAGGAGGATTAATGCGAGGCAAAGACAAGAAGACTAAAGAAAGAAATGATATTTGGATTTGTACACCCAGGCAGGCTAAATGAAGAAATCACACTGAACAATAGCATTACTAATGGAATTGGGCATGTAAACAAATAATGGCTGCCAAGTACGTTTGATGAAATTCGACATGCAAAAACAAGGCTGGATGTGTAAGATGGCTGAAGCTATTTGGTGTCGTCAGGATTCACCTTAAAACATGCTGAGGTCAAGAGCAAAAGGAAAAGTCCTTCATAAAAAGTGAAAAGTGTTCCTAACACACAAACTAAAATGAAGCAATGCTAACATGTAGTACAGAACATGCTAGTGCTAGCATGGGAATTAAAACTTTGCAAATCAGTATTAGTAAAAAGGTAAAACAGTTTAATGTTCGTAAGTAAAATGTAAAAAAGTGTGAATCGTTCAAATACAAGTACATAACAGTCTTTCATAAATGAGTGTATTAGTCAATGGAACTTTTAAATAAAACAAAACAAGCTAACAGAGGTGATCTCTAAGTTAAAGATGCTAATGCTACAAATACTAAGGAAACTTGCTAAGCAAATCTATGTCTTAGTGATGGAAATAACTGAAATCTCTCCACTCAGGTAGAGTGGAGAGATTTAAAAGATAAATCAGTAGAAGCTGAAAGATATAAAAAAGTAGTTAGCTAAAACAAGTTAAAGCAGCTTGTACGTTTGAGGGAGTTGGCAATGTCGATAACATTGTTTTTTTTTAGTAAATTTGTCCGATAATAAAAACACAAAAATACATGAAATGTAAAGTAGTTTTAAGTGAGTAAAGTAGTGTGATGTTTGTGAATTTTCCTAGTAGATGCTAACCCAGTCTGTCAAGTTGAAGGAACTTGTGAAGCTGAATTATAATTTTAAGCAGAATTATTTTCTTAAAATGAAAATATCCAATACTATTAATAATAAAACAAGTAAAATAAAAAGAGAATAAAACTGTAAAATACTAATATTTTATCAAATAGACAGTTTTTAATGTGTTGTTTTGCAATCACAAGTTGCAAAACAACTCAAGCGGACTTATTTCTTAGCATGGAAACAACTTCACCACAAACAGTTTTAAATTAAATATAAATTGTGAACTGAAATGTGTCATTAAAACAGTCAGCTAAAAGATGCTAATGTGCTCTACACATTAGAGGCAAATCAGATGAGATTTTGAGGCAGATTTATCTTCTGGTAACAGTCTTAAAGTGAGTAATATTCAAAATGAGAAGTGAAATATGTTCAAATGTCCAGCCTAATTTACCTCTCCAAACTCCAACTGAAAGAAATCGAACTTTATGGCCCTGATCTATCTCCCTACATGCAAAATGACGTCCATGTACAGCAACTGACACAACTAATGAAGGTAGAACTTTTATTCAACTGACTGTATTTCAGCAGAAAACTGTAGCTATGATACTATATGGCTGCTCTACCACTGCTGACCTTTAGATGGCACTTTTGGCCCACCAGTTTTCTATGATCAGGACCAAGCAGGTCCAAATCAAACTTCCAAATAAACTGCTTTCACTCTTTTATTGCTTGGTGTAATTGAATTAATTTCTCCGTGTTCTGTTGTAGGTGACTATAGAGCCTTTTATGAGCAGAGACAGGACACGGTAATCAAGTTGCTGCTGAGAAGAGTGACGACTTTCATTATTTTCATCTATTAAAGTAGGTAGCACCCACTGTGATTTAATTAGGATGCTCCGCAGCAGCAGAATCCCTTCACTAATCTGCTGTAGGACAACACATTAACCTCGAGAGCAGTAATGAACTCATCTCATTAATTAGTAGAAAGTCAAATTTAGCTATTGTGCTGAGAAGACGGTGAAAAGCGAAGACACCCAGCTGCCTCGGTGCAGTTCGAGGTGTCTGTTCTACCCAGGCGTGGAGCTGATAATGAGCCACTTAAATTATTTAGCTTTTCAAAGCGATGCGATTAGTAAAGCTGTCTTTAATAAAGAAGAAAGTGTCTGCTTAATCCGTTCTTCTAGGGGGAAAGAAAAATTCAACATTTTGACAGAAAAAAAAAGCATGTAGGCTACGTTCTTTCTCAAGGTCTCAGATGACTTTGAGGTGACCACGGCTTGAAATAAAGCAGCAAAATAAACTAGAGACAAAAAAGGCCGTAGGACGAGGCGGTGCGCCTTGGCTGTGATATTCGCTTTTCTGTCCCGTCTCCAGGACTCAGGGGGAATGCTGGGAGAAGGAAATGCACTCGGTCCACTCACCGGTTCCTTAGCCTGGGGGGAAAAAGTCAAATTTAGTTTCATGAGGACAAGAGTGTAGATCGAGAAGGGCAACCTGGAACTCGTTTTATCACCTGACATCATATCTGACATGTTTTATTGGACAAAATCTACTAAATAAAAAAGGTGTAACAGAGAAAACATTACTGTACAGCAGGGCATTCAGGTCTCCAGAAAACATGCTGTTCTTGTAATAAACCACTTAAATTCATTTGAATTAACAACAGCAAAGATGAATAAAAATCATTTCATGAGCAAAACATGTTAACTTGCGTGTTACAATTGGATTGTGGTCACAGCAATGACTGTAAATAATTTGGCTGGCTTGTAAATTAACGCTAACATAGATAGCTCAAATAAAAGACTGAAGCAGAACAGCAATGATGTTGCTCACATTTAAAATATGTTCTTTCCAACACTGGGAGAAACACATTAACCCAGTTATGCTTGCAAATGTGACGAGGTGACTTAAGTGTTTTGCCTGTGGGCACATCAGCATTTTGAGGCAGAGGAAGCTGAAATCAAACCGGCCATTTCCCAAGCGAGATGAC